AAAAAAAAAAAAACCAATTTTTCAAACCTGTGACATTATTATTGGTCCTCCTTGGGGCTCGAATAAATTTTCTGACTTCATCAAGTTGACAATTTTCTCAACAAATCCTTGCATAGCAGCCTTCAGAAAAATAAAAAATAAAAATTCCACACCAAATATTAATTACTGCTTTAATTCAATCCGTTGAAAACTTAGGATGTGAAAACATTTATTTATTAATTAAATGCATTAATTAAACTACTCCAAAAAAGTGTCAAAACCTTAAAAGGCTCATTATCTGTTCTGAACTCTATTCCTGGTACATATTTCAGCCAAACAGGGAATCCCCTGCATCAACACAGAGGAAATATAAAATTAAATTAAAAAAATAAAAATAAAAACAGAGCATGCAAGAAATAATGAATAAATATGTACCCGAAATTCCATTCTGCACAAACGTAAGGGCCGATACGCAGGTGAACGTAAAGCCCGGCACTTTGCACGAGCTTGATGAACTTGACCAAATCAAACCTGTCCTCAAAATTATACTGCACAGATAATAAATCTTATTTTTCCAAAAACAAAACACAAAAAGAATAAAAAAATAAAAAAAAATGAAAATCGTGAAATGGAACAAAGTGTACGAACGTTGCCAGGTGTCGGCTCGTGGCCGTTCCAAAACACATAAGTTTGTATGACATCTAATCCTCCATCTTTAGCCTTCTGTATAAGATCAGGCCACATCTGCATCCAACAACATTTTTTTTTTTCTCAATAAAAAATATTATATATCCAAAAAAAAAAGAATATATATATATATATTGGAAAATGGGTACCTCAGGGGTGCTTCTTGGATAATGAATAGAGCCCGAGATGAGAATTTTGCGTTTGCCATCGATAATGAAGGCTTTATCATCGTACGAAACTGTGGCTTCGACAGATGAGAAAACCGATACCAAGAAAAGTAGCAATATCGAGATACTAATCGGCCTTATCGACATAGTGGAAACCCGAAACTTATCTTGATGAGAAATTAAGAGAAATTATGAATGGTTTGTGCGTGTGTATTGTGCATGAAGAAAAATGGAGTTTAAATAGATGGAGAACAAAAGAGAAAGGAGATTAGTTTAGATTAGATTAGATGGAGGGGTTGGTGGGGCCCACGAGTTTGTTTACTTTCTGTTAGGGTTTGTGGGGTTTTTGATGGGCTCACACACCATTTTCAGGCACGGAGCTTTAANGATATTTTGGTTGAGGAAAAGGTGGGAGACTTTAAAATGTGGAAACTGGAAATGCCCCATTTCGAGGCCGAATTTATTGATGTCCACGTCATCTCCATTTGAATTAGTTGGTGTTCTTCCTGTTTTGTTATTGTTTCTTCAGTTTGATTGGATATAGGTTGCAAGGTTTATCAACGTAGGATCCCAGTTAAGATCTTGTTTTACTCTGATTTTCAATTTTATTTTATTTTAATTTTTTTTATAACTTTTTTTTGGTTACGATGTTATCGAAAAATTTTTATTTTCGTGGGAAAACAGAGTTTTGTGACCCAGGCTAAACTCGAACCCTGTGGTTTATCAGGATCGTTTTACAATCATACATTTGATTTTATATTTCATAAGAAAAAAAAAATAGTGCGTATTTGATTTTTAAATTTTAAACTGATTTATCAGGTTCATCAAGTGATTCAGAAACAGGATAGTTGAACCTATGAGACTGTAATTCCTATGCCAATTTTGTAGTAAAGTATGTAAGACAAAGACTTTTATTGGATTAATTGTTTTAATCTGGACTAATTTTACTTTATTGAAAACTTACACGAGTGGAGCTTAATGTGAAATAGACTTATGAATGTGGAATATTTCACATACATTTTTTATCCAATTAAAACGAGAATTGAATTTTATACTAATGCAGTCTAATTAAGCAAAGTCTCAATGAAGTTATAGCTTTAGAGAGGGGACTTTATAACTTATTGGAGCATTTATTTCAAGAGTTTCGAAACATCTTTTTCTGTGAAGAAACCCATGCAATGAATGGCGAGTCAATTTTTCTACAAGTTGGGTTACCCTCCCCAACAAATATCATTAATTTCTACAAATTTTCTAGGACCGTAACTATTTTATTCGGAATAATTTAATATGAAGTGTCAATTGGTCACTCTAGCTAGCTGCACGCCGATAGATAGATATTATAAAGATGTCGTTGAACCTCTTGAATAGACAGTATTTTTCATACGTATGTTGGTCAATACGATTTGTATATGTACTTCGAGCTAAAATTACATTAAATATTATCACATATATCAATGATATTTAATACTCGGCAAAATTGCAATTTAATACACCACATTTCACAGTTTTGCAATTTTATCACCACCTTCGGGAATTGACAAGTTAATCACGACCTTTACCTTTATTTGCAAAACGGACCACAACTCACGGTTTCGTTTACAGAATGCTGACTTGGAACTGATGGAAGTTTTGAGGGGTTGACGTGGCTTAGCTGGAATAAACGGTGTCGTTCGCACATAGCATATATCATGAATTTTGATGCAAAATTGTTCATTTCCGTTCGCACATAAACCTAATTCTCTTCAAGTAAATCCTCTTCAAACTCACCTGCAACAATATCGTCTGATTCAAACTATACTCATGTGACACTAATTCTACTTATTTTTCAATGGAGTACCTTATAAGTTTTTCACATTTTTTTCTTTCTTTCTTTTATTTATTTTTTATTTATTATTATTATTTTTCCTTTTTTGGTTTATTCCTCAACAAACAATTATGTAGTGCAAATTTGGATAAGCCCTCACTTGTTTTAGTTTCACGCCGTTCCTACTGAGTACCTACCTACCCACCTCACCAAAAAAATTGTACCACAAAGTAGTTTGAAATATTGAAATTGAAATTTCACATCAATTATACGAACCCACTTTCCCATGTTTTAATCAACATTTTTTTTTTTTTTCTCTCTCTCACTTTCCTTTATAAAATATGTATACGTGTATATAAAGGAATTTGAGAATAAATATTGGTATAAAAAAATGTAAGACTGGTTTTAGAGTATTTTTGGATTTTAATTGTTCAACTTATTTGATGACCTATTTTAGTTTTATCCATTTTTGAATTATTTCAATACTTTTTGTTTCATGTATTTTTATTTTATATGTACGTGCGGGTTTTAGATTCTTTTGAATGTCAGTTGTTATGATTTGATCAGTGGTAATATAAGGCATAATTAATTGTTATACTTATGGTCATTGCTCATTAGTCGAATGTTGAAATTATCACATCATCACAACCACTCATTTGACACCAAACAAATTAAAGGAACAGGAAAATATATAAATGACATAAAATCATCATATCCTATTCCTCGCAAAAATATAATGCATAATTAATTGTTATACTTATGGACCTTGCTCATTAGTCGCATGTTGAAATTACCACGTCTTCACAACTACTCATTTGACACCAAACAAATCAAAGCAAGAGGAAATATATAAATAAAATAAAATCATCATATCCTCGCAAATGTATTTCGGTCAAACTCAATAGCTTTAAATTATGGGTGCATTATATATATAAAAATAAATAAAAATTTGTGGAAAAAAAATAAAAAAATAAAAAAATTCGTAATCCTTTTTTCTAATAAAATTTTTATTAGAAAAACGGATTCCCACAATCCGTTTTTATTTTTGATTTTTTTTTAAGATAACGGTCGAATTTAATAATAATAATACATCCACTGTGTAAAACGGATTTTCAAAATCCGTTTTTTATTTTTTATTTTTTTAAAAGATAACGTTCAAATTTAATAATAATAATACATCCACTGTATAAAACAGATTTGCAAAATCCGTTTTTCATTTGAAAAACGAGTAAAACGGATTTTCGAAATCCGTTGTTCTCTTGATAAATATAGGTCCAAGACAACCCCCATTTCATTTCTCCTCTCTCATTTCATTTTCTCCTCTCGTTTTTTGCTCGATTTTATTGCGAATTAAAGCTGCAATTAAAAAAAAAATCCATTTCATTTCTCCTCTCGTTTTTTGCTCGATTTTTTGGCGAATTGAAGCTGTTCCCGGGAAAAAAACAAATTTTCAACCAATCGTCGAAGAAGAGGTTAGTTGTTATTTTAATATAATGTAATATTAATTTTTAGTTGTTTATGAATGTTTAAGAGATATATTTGGTTAATTGAGTATTGTTTAGAAAATCTTGAATGTTGGTTTAATATATGTTGAATATTTATCCAAATTGTTTATGAATTTGATGTTATTGTTGGATTATGGTGATTAGGGTTTTTGTTGTGGCAATTGTACTAAATTAATTGACAATTTTTTTTTTGTTGGAGTAAAAATATGATTAATTATATGTTGTTGTTGGATATGTGTTTTAAATGTAGATTGGTAAAATAATAATTAAAATTTTTCTCGGGTGTTTGATTAGCCATTTTAAATGTAGATTGGTGATTAGGGTTTTTGTGATTTTTTTTATAAATTAATGGACAATTTTTCTTTTTGGAGTAAAAATATAATTAATTATATGTTGTTGTTGGAAATGAGTTTTAAATGTAGATTGGTAAGATAATAATTGAAATTTTCTCGGGTGTTTGATTAGCCATTTTAAATGTAGATTGGTAAAATAATTGAATTTTTAAATTTAGATTGGTAAAATAATAATTAAAATTTTCTCATGGTGTTTGATTAGCCATTTTATGTTGTTGTAATTTGTAAAATATAAATTTTTTTTGTGCAACAGGTTATAAATGTCGTCTAACAGTCCATACTTTGTTAATGTGTACTGGAAAATTCTCCAGAGTGAGTTATGGAATTTTTCGAATTATATGTCTCGTCCGGATTGTTCATTTGTTATTAATGGAATAATATCATATGAACAATTGGTAGATATGATTTACGAAAATGGTGGATTTCGTGATAGTTGGACAATTTCGGATATTACTTTGATGGCGAGACAACAGGATGGTTCGTTTATTACCGGAAGACTGCATAATGATAATTCTCTTTCGTGGATTTACTACTCTGCTCCTATGTCCTATGTGTTTTTGCATATAGTGTTGGAAGCAAACACACAGGTTACACGATCTGCGTAATTATTTCCTTAATTGATAAGAAATTATAATTGAATAAATCAATCGAATTTACACGATATGCGTAATTATTTCCTTAATTGAATAATATTTATTAAATAATATATAAATCTCGGTCAATTCAAAATTAACATATATTACAATCTCGGTCATTTTTGCAGAAAATGGCTTCGTCATCCTCGAACCCTCAACCCTACACCCCACACCCCGGCCCCAGTGACCCGTCACTTCTATATCTTCAGAACCGCCACCGATCCAAGGCGGTATATGAGGACGCACCGGGATTTTGCCACGCCGTGCGGACACCCAGTTCTGGGCTGCCTTGGAGGGCAACAAGCAGAATGCCCGGACATGGGAGGCGATCGACAAGGCCGGATTCGGGCCTTTATTTCGGATGGGGCGGGTCCCGACAAACATTCCCCTCATTACATGCCTGCTGGAGAGGTGGCGTCCGGAGACGCACACCTTCCACTTCGACTTCGGGGAGGCCACGATCACTCTCCATGACGTTCAGATACTTTTTGGCCTCCCCGTCAGCGGGGAACCGTGCTGGGCACATACCGTACTTCGGACTCCCCAAGAGTGGAGAGTTCATTGCCTGGACGCTCTAGGGTACCACAGGTATATTGTTACCTAAAACTTTTATTTGTTTAGTTTATTTTTTTTATTATTATGTTTATGTATACTTAAGTCATGGGTCACTTTTAATATATATATAAACGTATTTCAAGGATGACGGGTTCCAGGACTACGACCCCAAGACTTGGGACATAAATGGCCAGTGCCTGTATTTCAGTAGTCTGGAAGAGGAGTGCAAGCGCCCTCTGGAGGATGGACTCCCTACATCAGAGTACGAGAAGAGAGCGAGAGCTCTGATACTCTGGTGTATTGGGTCCTTCTT